ACCACTAATTGAAAAATGTGACTATTCATTGGTAAAATGACCAATCGGCAACAGGTGGCACATCTGATTCTAGATGTGTTGCGCATGTCTCTGCATTAGGACCAGATACCAAATTCTCACAAAGTGAAGCACTAATTGAAGGTGTAAAACTGCCAAAATTAAGGTGCAAGCAATTTGCAACATGAACTAGTAGGTGTTGTTCAATGACAAAGGTTTAAGTGAGGTTTAATGTTGAGAGGTTTAATTGAAATTATAATTTATGAGTTTGATCAAATATAGTTAGACAAACTATAGTCCAAAGCATCATAATGTGGAAATAGATGCCTCTTTAACAGTAGACAACTAAAAAGGTGCTTCCTTAGATCAATATGGCAAGCACCATAGATCATCGTAGCAGCTTTGACACCTTTAACAAATAAAATATATCACAATTCAATAAAGTTGGATGAGTATGTCATACTGCAGGGATTCAAAGTCACTAAATCAGTTGCGAAATTGCAACAACTAATCTTAAAGCAACTCAACAAAATGTCCAAGTCAATGGTTTAGTTTCAATGAAACAACTTGAGACAGAGGTAGGATCATTGATGTCATAGATACAGGTTAAATGCACTTTCAAAATATAACTTAAAATATTTTTCAAAATAGATTAACCCGCTTCGCAACCTCTTGTCCAAACAAACTCTTAAGATTGTTCTGGAAAAAGTATTATCTTGATGGAATCTATTTCAATTCCATTATTGATTTTACTTTTCCCAGTGTCTTGGAAGGATGGAACTTTTACCACTTTTACTTTTACTCGATACAATACATTATATTTTCTCCCAAGTCATACCTATTTTCAGCTCAGTATTTACTTAACATTTTTAAAGTCCTGTAAATAAAGATAATTTGGATGCTTATAAAGGGAAGGTTTTCATAGAGTAGAGCTAGTGCAGACGTGTAGTGCTTCTTTCATGTAAATCTAGATTAGAAATGAGTTGTTCCTATTTCTTTTTTGAGTTCAAATATAAGTGTGTTATCCATCTTTGACTTTTATGTATATTTTTAAGGAAGGATTGGAGAAGCTTGTTATATTGTGCCACAGCCTATAAGAAAAAGAAATTTCATAAAAACATGTCATGATAAGCTTTTTTATTTGTATAGTGTAGACATTTGATTGATACTATACATATAAGAAACAGCTAAGTTAGTAGTGGAAATGGTATCAAAATTTTATTCCACACTATACATTTCAATTTTCAAGTAGGGTCAAATAGTTATGACATTTCTTTAGTTCAATGCTTTTAGAATAAAAAAGACATTTGATAGAAAAATAGAGTTTATATTCACAATCAAATTAGAGTGAATATGAAAGATGTATGCCCGGCTCCATTGAGAGAATAGAAGAAGAAAAACTGCAGTGATAGTAATTCAGCCTTCTGAAAATAAACATTAGTTCAATAATTATTAGTTAAAATTTACATAAGTTATCACTTTGTGAAATTGGTATAAGTTCAATCACTTCTTAACCTGAACTTGAACATAAAGACTTATCCAATCAAAAAACATTATCACCTTTTGAATTTGGTATAATTTCAATCACTCCCTAACCTGAACATGAACAAAGACTGGTTTTTTTATGGATTAGGTTTTTTTTAATCCAAGGAGAGGAAGCATTTCACGCCATTAATTCGCCTAAAATTCGTTGTTGGGAGGTTGATAGTTGGTGCGAATAAGCCTATCCTAGCCTATTGATTCATTCGTGAATTTCAATAAAGCCTTAAAGAACAGCACATACCGAGTGGACTAAGATAAGAAGAAAAGAGAAAGTAAAGAAAGGTGATGATCTAAAAAGTGTTGATTGAGAAGAGATGCGAGATGGTGAGGAAATTCTGAAAAGTGGCATTGGAGAAGACCTCAGAGGTGAGAAAGAGAGCGGAGGTGATTGGAGGGTGTAGATCCATCAAAATGAAGGGTTAGGATGATTTTGTATTACTATTAAGTATAGAGGATTAAGGTGCCTACTCCCGTACCTTCACAAAATTAAAGGTATGGTGCCTATCCTATTGGTTTATGACATGTGGACTTCTTATACAGCTAGATCTATCATTTGAACGAGTTCACCTTTCCCCTTATTTTGTTAGTATGCCCTTAACTTATCTGATACTGATGGTACGTTAATCCTCCGCTACAATCCTCTGTTAGGTTTCCATTCAGCTCTTTCATTCTCTCGATCATTTCTCTCGATCGCATTTCCTCAGCTGTGAGTATTGCGATTAAGCTTCAGACAATGAATAATCGGTTGGATATGCCAACCGATTTGAAGAAAGAAATCATATAACCCTATAAAAGGAGATTTGGTCAGTTTCATCTCATGTGTTCTCCATGAAATGTGAAATGGAGGTCGAAGAAGTGAAAGAGCTTGAAGCTGTGCTGGAGAAAATATGGGGTTTGCACGACAAGATCAATAGAAACCGCATAAACTCGCTTTTTTAAAAAATTGTATCACTTCATCATGTCCCAATGTTAGTGGGGCAGAGATAGTATTTGTTATAGTCAACTGTATGTTTCTATGTCACAAGTCATACATGCAACAGTGACGACACGTAAAGTAGTTCCACAACAAATGTGGTGTGCCACGATGTTTTTTTTTTGAACCCATGATGTTTCCTCAAAATGCGTAATTATACCTTTTATGATGTAATTTTTTTCTTTTTGTATTCATCATATCAATCACAATACTGTTTTTGTGAAATATCATACGTGTATTAATCTTTTCTATAACGTTGATATGTTATTGATTAACATTATAAAAGTTATAAATAAACTAAAAGAAATTTTATCCATGCATCGCACGGGTTACATACTAGTACCAAAAATTTAGAAATCGGAAACCACACCTCAGGTAGTAAAAAGGGATCACCCTAAAACCCTAATGCCTTGTCTATTCGGGGCGTGAAAGCATTGGGGTTGGCGAATCGAGGCGTGTAGGGCCTTGAAATTGGAGATTCAACCTTCTGGAGAATGAACGACTTCCTAAGTTCTCAGAACCAACCGTGTTATTAGACATTTATGGGGATAGTAATTTTTGCAACAATGGTGTTTGGTGTACACCCCGAGTTACAACCTATTTGTTTGTCTCTTGCATAGACAAAAAAAATACAGACACTTTTCGACAAAAATGTTTGTGTAAACAAAATATGTTTGTAAACATGTTTGCGTACAAATAAAAATATATTTATACAAACACTTTTTATGTGTATACATACAAGTAGTGTTTGAATGCATACATTAGCGTTCGTACAAATTTAAATATTTGGTATGTTTTTTGTAGATAAAGTTGTTGGGAAATCATTGCATGTATACTGACAGTCTGACACTAGTTGTTTGTATACACATAAAAAAATGTCGGTGCACATATATTTTGTCTGTGTGAAGACATATTTAAAGATAAATTTTGTTCACACAAATAAATCTTATCGAAAAGCGTCTTTATTTATAGTTTTTTTTATTCGTGAATCGTGACTAAATAGAGTGCACCCCACGAAAAAAATAAACATGTTCTTTTTGCTATGGATGACCTGATCCCAACCAACTATCGACTAGAGAGTAAGGGTGGGCACAAAATACCGTAACTGACTAACCAAACCAAAAAACTGAAAAACGATGTATTTTCCGGTTAACCATACCTGATTGTTTAAAAACTCACGGTACGGTTAACCAACCGCAAAGAAAAAACAGTAATGGTACGGTTATGGTTGAAATTATGTAAATACCGGTTAGCCACTAACTCAAATCTTAAGTAAAATCTGTACATGTTTCATTGTTTTGTAACATGCGCCCAGTTGCGTCGTGCTTCCCCCACTGCAGCGGTAAGAATGAAAAGTGTGTTGACGCTTCCCAATTCCCTCCCAAACAATCATAAGTGGAATACTATATTATACTAGTAATACGTATATATAGTGTTGCTCTGTATAGTTACTCCGTATTATTATTACTACATATTATTATTATCTAGTGATTTAGCTAGTTGCCTAGCTGGGAAGCTCTACGTTTAAAAAAGCAATCTGTCAAAAAAAAACTACGTATTACTGTTTTATTATATAACTATCTGTCAAAAAAGTAGTTGCTCAGCTCGCTAGCTCTACGTTTAAAAAGTTGTACTCGTATGTTCAAAGTTTAAAACAACAAGAATATTGGTAATTTTATCTTTCTCTTTCGGTTTATTGGTTAACCGAAATACTCCCTCCGTTTTTTAAACAAGTTCCCACTTTCCTTTTTGGGTAGTTCCCAAATTAAGTTCCCCTTTCCTTATTGACAAATTAACTACATCAAAACAATGCCAAACAGTGCAAAACAGTGCCAGACAATGTCCAAACAGTGCCAAACAGTGTCTAAACAGTGCCCCAACGGTGTCAAAACAGTAAAGTTTACTTTTTTTTCTTAAAAAATGTGAAAAGAATGGGGAACTTGTTTTAGAAACGGAGGAAGTATTGATTAACCGACACCCGGTTGGTTATAGGGATGGACTAAACCGGGCTGGGCCGACCCGGAACCGGCCCGGCCCGTTACTGTTTGGGCCCGAACCGGACCGGGACTGATTGGCTGGTTTCGGGCTTTTAGCCTGTTTGGGCGGGTCGGGCGGGCTGGGCTCGGGCCCAACTTTTGGTGAACCGGCCCGGGCGGTTCGGGCCGGGCCCGGTTCATTTTTTTTTTCAATTTTTTTTGCTTTTCTAGGTTAGGGTTGGGTGTTTGAGGGGGGGGGGGGGTGGGGGTGAAGGGGGATGTTAATTAGGAACCAAAAAAAATGAATTTGACCCGGGCCCGGCCCGAACCTGGTATCAACTCGGGCTGGTTCCGAGCCCAACATTTTACAAAAAAAGCCTGCCCGGGCCCGACCCGAAATCGGAACCGGACCGGCCCGGGTCCATGCCTACCCGGTTAACCAATGTTACGATAAGAGTAATGGTATATAAAATTAGGTAACCAACCATGCCCACACCCTACTACTCTACTAGAGAGTAATAAGCTTAGTTGGTATGTCAATTTAAAAAGGAGAAAGTACCATAGAACATGATCCCGGCCTACTCTGTTTCTATTCCGCACTGTTGAAAGAACTTCTGGTCTGGGCGCCAACAATTCAAAATTGAATGAGCCCCATCTGTATCTACCGACAACCATTCCGCCATTAAAACATTCTTCACTCCTCTGTCGTCTTCTACCTCGCTCCAAATCATCATTGTCCTCTTCTCACTCCCTTAAATCTCACCTTTTACAGGAAATACAACACAATGGGGTGTGTTTCGTCTACTCTGCTCAGTCACGACGACGAGTTCGCTCAAATCGGCGGCACCGCCGGCTTCGGCCACCACATTGTGTCGCTCACCTCAACCACCTACGGCCTCTTGACTCTCGATCCCCCGGCGCGTTCATCCGGAGACGAAGAGAGTAGTGTTTCTCCGCTGCAGACCACTGCGCCAGCCACACCTACTCCGCCTACTCGGTTCAGTCTCGGGACACTCTTCGCCAGCCCGTTGCTTTCCGAACCTAGATCGGTCAAGTTGTCTGAACCGCCGTCTGAAATTATCAACTCATGGGAATTAATGTCCGGTCTTGATTCAGGACAACTGTTTAGCCAAAGCGCCGCTAAGAGCTTCCGATTTGCTCCTTTACCTGCTTCCACCGCAGACAGTATCTGCAGAAATTCTCCTTTACGCTCGAAGCCAGTGCTTAGTAAAGAAAACTCGAACCCTAATGTCTCCTCAGACGGGGCTAAAGCTGATGAATCGGCTGTTCTAAAGTCATCAAGCTTAGTTGAAGCTACACTGTCCAGAAAATCCTTCAATTCCAAGTACCCTTCCCTGGATCAGTTCGAAGAGCTATGCCCACCAAATGGGCAAAACAGGGTCGTGATCTATACGACGACATTGAGGGGCGTGAGAAAAACCTTTGAAGCTTGTAGTGCGGTCAGATCCGTTATTGAGGGAGCTGGGGTTTCCATTTGTGATAGGGATATTTCAATGGACAAAAGATTTAAGGAAGAGCTTAGGGATCTAATGAAGGGTAAAGATAGCAGTGAGCTAATACCTCCACGGGTGTTTGTGAGAGGGAGATACATTGGAGGTGCAGAAGTGGTATTGAGGATTGCTGAAGAAGGGGGGTTGGTGGATTTGCTTCAAGGATTGCCAAAATTGAGAGTCGGGTATGTGTGTGAAGGTTGCGGAGGTGCACGATTCTTGCCTTGTTTCACATGTAATGGAAGTTGTAAGATGGTTATGGTGGTGAGGGAAGACATGGAGGAGAAGCATGGCAAAACTGTGGTGGTGAGGTGCTCTGATTGTAACGAAAACGGCTTGGTGCTTTGCCCCATTTGTAGCTAGAAGGTGCACCCGCCATTTCTTGGTCAGTTTAGATCTCCTCCATTTCTTATTGCTAATTTTACTAGTAAAAAAATATTCATTTTTTGCTGCCATTAAAGATTTCTGCTTCATGTTTGAATTAAAATTGTCTCACATTTCAAATTTCTCTAATTCTCTGTTTGGGCAATCTGAATATACATTTCGTAGAATACAAGCGTCTAGCAAAGAGGACGTAAGCTAATGTTGCGGGATAAGCGATTTTAATGGATTTCTTGAAATTGTAGAGCCTGGACCCTTTGTAGTTGAAATCTCAATTGACCTGTGCATTTGATGTCTCATCATCCATACCTATACGCTCATATATTTTTCTCATCGTTTATCATCCACGAACAACTTAGGTGCAAGGAACTGATGATCGGCATTCAAATGCTCAGGGTGCATTTTATGTGTGAGCTTATGGCATTGAGGATATCTTCTTAAAAGTGTCAGTATTGATGTGTTTCAATTTCTAACCCTGTATGGTTGTTATGGATTATACGTTGTCATGCATTTTTCGAGCATATTGCAATTGAAAAACCCAAGCAGCACTCCTTTTGTTCAGAAACAGTCAATGTTTGCCAAAGTTGAAAGCCTTTTCTTTTAGCTTTTCATTTTTATATACCAAGATTGTTTTTAAGTAATTTATACAAACAATCTATTGCATATTGGAACGTATACTTTGATGTCATTTTTACTTTTTTCCAGTAATCATATTATTTTTTCCTTCGAACAGTTAGGGTTTCTGCTTTAGTGACTTCAAACGTAGCTTCAAATGATAAACACCCGACTTGGAAATAGCCCCTAATAGAGGCGTTTCCTAAAGTTTCAGCTTGTTGTGCCAAAACAAAGGCCAAGATTATGTTTGGCCCAAAGTTTTTTAGAGGAAGGGGAGGAATGATTTAACTGCATTCCCTCCCCGCAATGCCAATGAACCAATTACACCCTATATGGCGAAATCCTATTTCTAACTTTATCGTAAAACCACCCAATTCTCAAGGATATCCTGCCAAGCATGATAAAAGCCACATCTAAACTTAAACTCCAAGGTTCATGCCAGCCAAGACTTCATCTCAACTCTCAAGCCTCAAACTCTTGCATAACCATACATGGCATGCCTTAGTTACCTAGATTATTATCACCACCAAAACCATAATCTCAACTCAAAAGGTGGAATCACCCACCAAACCAACACCCTTATCTCAACTGGTTAGGATGGTAGCATTAAATTTCTAGGGTTAGTTAATTTAACTAACACTAAGATTTCATGCAAAAAATGGTGACAAAGTTTTACAACAGATGGTTTTCTTTTGGTGTGCTTCTTAGGAGGAAATCAAGGAACAATAATCAATAAAGTGTAAATCATCTTAGGTTGAAACAGTTATTACAGATCATATTTAAGTTGCATTAGTAGTTTGATACTGTAAAATCAGACTGTAAATAATGGAACATGGCTGAATATCACTTGCTTAGATACAGTCATACAACATCATTAGTTGTATTAACTTTTCTGCTCGATTTAAAAGTTCGCACTACTTTTAGGTTAATTTACTAATGGCTGAATTATTTCCATTTTTTGATGACAGGGTCCCGGTTTTACGCTGGAGCTTGTCCAGTGGGGTTTGCATTTTTGCAGCTTCAGAGGATAGGTGAAAATATGGGATCCGGCCTCCAGTTATGATATTGAAGATCAGTTTGAAGTTCAACTGGATAAAGAGCAAGGCTAATAAAGGTTTAACTTTGCCGGAAACAGTTTCTACAATGTACCAATAGATTATATGTAAATTACTAATTAAAATGGATCAGTAAATTATTGTTACTTGAAATTCCAAACTTCCTCTGTTTGGAAAACTAACATGTTCCAGACATCTGGAACAAAATGACTTTCCCAATATGACATTGATTGATGTCTTTTGCTTTGCATCATATCCAAAACGGTATTGACCAACCTTGTTTATAGTAATATAGTTATATGGACTCTAACGCCCTTAGCCCACACCTCACAATTTCAAATTCTCATGTATTGATATGGGATGCAAGCCTGCAAGACATAGTTATATCCATGCTATAAACATATGGTTAACAGACTAGCTCTATGTCTCGTAACATGTATGTACCACATTGCCGTCACTGAGCCAACTGTGGTTATAATATTGACATTCCAAATCCACATTACAGTCAATTCAACATTTAATAATTAAATGTAGTTTATATCCATGCCCTATAGAGTAGATATATCCGACCGAGGATGTTTTCACCTCGATTATATCTGACAAGACTTGACTAGATTTAGACAATATTAAAGTGCACATACTACTAGACTATACCAAACTAGACTTGAACATATAAGACTAGACTATAGATTCAAGGCTGAAGTGAAATCATCCAAGGGTTGAGTTTGCACGCTTCCGTATCATGAAAGATATCTAAAACTTATTTATTGGTACCTTCGAGTACTTCCTTATGGTTTACTCTTTAAGTTTGATCATGCAGTGATAGTTTTTTAGTAATACAAGTTCTCCTTCAACTTCCATTCCTCAGTTCAAGGTGCCCCTAGATTGCTTGTTCAAATATATCTTGAAGATGGGTTATAAAAACCTTTCTTCTGATACTGATTATGGGGATCTAGAACCAAATGTTTGTTTGCCTCACTTGATCATTTAAGTAATTCAACAAACCAAAATCGACAGAAAAACTAATTGAAACTGAAGCTAAAAGAATCAAATGAACAATTGATTTTTATCGGTAGATATTTTCATTGTCACATATTCGTTGAAGTTACATCTGAGGATGATCGTGGTGTTTCCATTAAAAATGAAATTGATTTTTTCGTAGAATTTATTGGACTGGATGAAATAATTTTCGTAGGTTGATGACTTTTTAACATTTTTGTCATTCATTAGTCATTACTTGCTAATCCGGAATCAAAATTCACAAACTTAAAACACAACTCTATAATTTTAGCTACGTTCAAAATGTCACGTACTTTTACGCACTAGTTCAAATATCAATAGGCAAAATGAACCTAGTTGAAAATGGACTACTTTTCCTTGCAAAAAAAGAAAGTGGACTATTTTTTTCGTGAGGACTACTTTATTTTGAAAGTTAGGTAACCATTAGAAGTTTACTTATACGATAGTACGGAGTATTTCTTATCTTATTCATAGAACATATTAGAGCATCTCCAATGTTACAATGTGCACGGTGCACATGTGGCATGAGACTATGAGAGAGAGACACAAAATATTGATTTTATGACAATTCTCTCTCATTCTTTCTACGGTCTTATGTGTTTTTGGTAAGTTTTTGTATGCAATGTCAATTACAATGTCTACATCTAGACATTGTGCTTGACATTGTGAAGAAAAACTTACCAAAATAATGTAAGATCCTTCAAATAAGGAGAAAGATATTATGTTTATTGTTTTTTAATTGGTTATTTCCCATGCCACGTATGCACCGTTAACGTTTAGCATTGGAGATGCACTTACTGTAGATTTATATAAGACATGTTGCTGCTATTAATAAATGTTAAGTACGTAGTAATTTAGTTCTTCCGCAACTAGTCCTCATTAAAATATACGTGGTTACCATGACACTATATTATTGTAATAACTAGTAGTCATATTTTTGTAAGTAAAATTTATTTAAGAATATTTTAGAGAAAACTCTAATAGAAAACTAGATAATGCTTAATGTTATTTTAGCGTTTTTTATATAATTTTTATTTACTTTATTGTGAATAAACTTGATGTATATACAACTATTTCATAATTTAGAGAATTTAGCCAATTCAGTAATTTGAGCTACAAGTCCTACTGTTTTGTAATTTCAATATATTTAACAAATCCAGTCAATTCTAGTGCTATCATTTGTAAAAAAACACTATAAATTTAGTTGGATAAGAATAAAGAATAAATGCATGTAAAACACAGAAGCGTAAAATCATAAGAAAACGCAATAGTCACAAGATGTACTTGTAAGGAAAAAAAATCGCTAATATTACTCCTGAAAAAGTGATAGACGAAAATATTACTTAGTAACTATTAGTGACTATAATTTTTCTCAAAATTTCCATCGTAATAATATGTAAGAACTGATAATAGTTATTAAGTCATACACTCATACTGAGTATTTCTGTCTATGTCATAGTTTTGTCATGTCTTTTTTATTAATAATATTCAAGGAAAACCTTTTGTTTGTAAACATTTCAAATTATACGGATTTATATATATATATATATATATATATATATATATATATATATATATATTATCCTCCGTTCCATAAAAATTGCAACATTTGACTTTCACGTTTGCCAACACGCAACTTTGACTGTATTTATATTTATTTATGTATTAGTAAACATTAAAAAAAGATAATATATTGGAAATTTACATTAATACAAATTTATTAATATTTTATACATAATATTTTTATTATATATATTATTAGAAAATCGTAGTCAAAATAAGGTGTGTGAATAGTGCAGAAATTCCAATGTTGCAACTTTTATGGAACGGAGGAAGTATTTTTTTATTATTATTAAATAAGGGAATGAGTTTTACGCTTCATTTTCATCAAAATTTAAGGATTCGCCATATTTTTAAAATCATCAGTATTTACAGCCTCGTGTGGAAAAGCTGCGTTAAAATTAGGAGCAAACTTCGAGCAGAAATGAAAAATAGGGTGCAATATTGGATGCACATGTAATCAATCTTGAAAACGGAGTGTGAATATTATTTGATTTACTAATTATTGTTTGGCGTGTGCTTGAGCTCTTTTTCACAATACAAGGTGAAAAAGAATTAATATTCATTTGTACAAGTAACTATTTACTGCACAAGTAGATGCTCATTTGTGTAAATTTTAAAAATATTATTTGCACATATCAACTTTTACCAGCTTGTTTCAGAATCAGAATTGAGGGAAGCCTAGACAAACCAAACTCAAAATAAATGAAATTACCAAGTCAAAAAGCTAAAAAACAATGGTTAGAAAATTACAATGAGGAACCGTTTCAAATGACGACGGCCGGAGATAGTCTTCTATATAAGGGCTTATTTGACCTTTTTTTGACTAGTACGTGGGCTTATTTGCCCTCTTTTCCAAAAGATAATACTCCTCTAAAATATCCCATTGTTTTTAAGTATTGCTTTCACTTTTGTACGCTAGATATAAGTAGGGGTGGACTGGGACGGATAAGTAGGGGTGGACTGGGATGGTCGAGCTCAGACCGCTATTGTGCAGGCTCGACTCGGCTGGGTTGACCGGGACCAGGACCAAGCTCGAGGCCCGACCCTGATGAAGAAGCAAGCGGTACCGGGCCTTGATTTTAGTGGACCAGCCCGGGCCTAAAGGTAAAGAATTCCAAAAAACAAATTGGGCTTGGAATTGTTTGGCCCAACTTGACCCAATCAAGTCCCGAAACCCGCCCAAATAGCACGGCCCGACCTGGTCCCGGTACAAACCCGGGCCGGTACCGGGCCTGATAATTTTGGACCCGGCGCCCGCCCTGCCCCGGCCCAATCCACCCCTAGATAATAAGCATGGAGGACAGATTGAGTGCTTAATTAAGCTATAAGCTTCTAAATAAGCTCCAACAAATATACATTAAATGAGACGAATATAACATGATAGATCTAGTAAATTTTATTATAAATTTACAAAGAATGTCCTGGTTACTTCAGAACAAATTCTAAACGCCTATAAAAAGGAGATCCTAAAAGAGGAAGAAAATACAAATGGAGGACTAAAAGTGGAACTGTCACTATTGAATGATCAAAAGACAGCGAGCTAAATGGACAGTTATAACTTATAATGTCTGAAACATCACCCCGGAAGAGCAGAAATGCAACAAAAGAGAAAAACTATGACATACGCAGGAGCAAAGAAATCGAAACCATAATGCTGTTTACGCAACGGCCTGAATGAGAGTTCCATCCATGAACAGAAGAAGACTAGTAAGGGTAAGAGATATCCATGACTGGACAGACGGCAAAACAACTGTAGAAATGTAACTATGAAAAGTTCTTTACAGGAGCTGCCGCAGTTGAGATGAATGGAGGTGACCCACAGTCTGAGGTAGCAATGCTGATTCCATGCACAGGCGGACGAGGAAAACGGGGGCGGACTGGAGTCTTTGATGGGCTTACCCTGTTTATGCACACACACAAAAGAAGAAAACAGTCCAAGTTTTGGGTCACGGTGCTATTTGTTGGTTGACGATGAAAAACTCATCGATGCGTGCACTTAATTCAAGTGGACGGTGAACATGCTAACCTGATAGGTAGTGAGCCCAAAACCACACCACTACAGTTGAGAGCAGCAATTGCACTCTCAGCCTGCACAAAAGTTGCATATGATCAACAAAGTTATACAAACCTGACTTGGGAAAAAACTCATCTAAATTACAGAAACTATTCATGATGTGAAAGTCCGTGACAACTATGTGTGAAACCAAATTCAGGATGGGAGAAAACGCTTTAGAATACTTGTACATCATTTCAAGTCATTCCACACTGCTAAACATAAATATACAAGCTCTCGTGTAATGTCTTAGGTCTATCCTCTGATCATATTATTACCTTTTTAAGATGGAATCTCAAATTTTAATATGTTCAATATGGTATTAGAACGAATTAAACTTAAACAAGTCATCTCTTCTATCACGTTGACCGATGAAACCCCATGTCTCAATACTAATCTTAAGGTGTCTGACTGTTTGTAGTCACCAATCTGAGCGTTTCAATTAAGAACTAAAAGCTGGAAGACTGAAACGATAATGGCATTTAGTTTATACATAATTACACAGTTTCATCAGCCTACTGACTACCACTATACTTGCACATGCACTCAAGTCCTAGTGTATTTTAGTATCCTGATGACAGCATGACACTCCTGCCATATATCATATAGGGAGTATCATTTAAGGGTAACAAGGCCCAAAACATGCTGAGAACCGATTAACATGTCAACTAATGAACTAATATATTTTTTAACCGAATAGTGTTTATCGAACCCAAAAAGGTGTTCTGAACTTAACCTACTGGTTTGCTAGTATATCATGCCACTTATAGTTGAGGAGAAGTTTCACAAAGACGGAAATATCAAAACTACCAAATACAGCCTACTTGTATACTCATTACTCTGAATAAGAAAGGACCACTTGGTTAGTGGAAATAACTAGTGTTCAAAACCAAAAATATTGATAAGCATTTCACAAAAAAGAAGCACAGAAAAAACATCGGTGGAAAATGAGGCATGGTAATTGAATAATAATACCATTGTGAATTCAACAAAGGCAATACGAGTGGAATGCTGATAGTCTCCGAGCAGCCGCAGGCGATAAACCTAAAGCAGCATGGGGTATTTAATGAGAGCTCTATCCATCAAAAGACTGTTAATATTACAGAAAAATGTACTACATATATGGCTTATTTTGTCATTATGGGAGGATTCCCAAACCTCTCCACAAATTGTTTCGAAAAAAAGTTTAACATCTGCTTGAGAAACCTGCACCAAACAAACAATGATATTTGAATGCTCTTAAAATTCATAAATCAAACTCCTTGTTTAACCAATACCAAACTTCAATACCTTCTTGTCTATATTTGTACAATAAACTGTTCTTGCGCACATTTCTCTTTCATCCTCATTCTGATGTCGAAATTAAAAAATAATAATTAGTTTTTATAAAGATAACCATAAAAAAGACACCTAAGCACCGAATAGATGCGGAGCTCACCCTGGGTAAAAACGTGGGGTTAACAGGAGCAATTGCAGTTTTGGAAGGCAGCACCCTCAGAGGGTAGTATCCAAGCACAGTCCCTGAAAGACTTAAAGCAGCCTGTGCTCCCTCTACAAAATCAAAAGCCCCAAAAACAAAAGGTGTATATGATAAGTCATCAAAGTCAGCAATGATAGATCAGGATGAAACCAATCATCATTCAAAATTACCCTCATCGGTGAACTCTACAAAAGCAAAGCGAAGAATGGACTTCGGATCGCCGCATACACGGCAGTCAACAACCTTCATGACCATTATAAGCTCATTAGCATGTTATAAGAGTAACTGACCAGTAACATTACCATCATAGACACCTAGTTTCAGCAACAAGAACAGATGTACCTACCTGACCACAGGTAAGAAACAAGGCCGCAAGCTGCTCCTCCGTAATCTATCTCCAAACAAACAATGCATTACTTAAATACGGAGTAGAAAATAAGAACAGAAAAAACACATATTTAATTGGAGAATCTATATTGTGCATCCAGTACTGTACACATGGCATATCCAAATGAGCACTACACAACATGAAAAGAGCTCAAAAAATCGAGCCCGATAAAATGAGCATTCATCAAAATAAATATATCAAATCACCCTGATTTGAAATTACATCCTTATCTACTGTGTATTTTGCTCTTTGTTTGAAGGTCCTATGTTTTACCTGATGATCAATGTCGGACACATAAACAGTCCTCCTGATAACATCTTCTCTCTGGGCCAGGCTTGTCCTGGCGTTCATCCTTCTCTTCCCCGGACTATAGGTATTTTTCTTCAGCCAATAAATTACATAATTAGAGAGATTTAAGTCAAACTTTCACGAACAGCTGCTTTATTTTGTGTTGTTATATGAACACCCTATTTATTATTTACTCCGAATTATGTATGATATAAACAAACAAGAATAACAATACTTGAAGAAAAAAAGGAACTTATTTCATCAGAAAAAAGAATACCCGTCTCCCAGAATTGGTAGTGTTGAGAAACAGGCTACCGTTCTTAGCCAGAGAAAGAGGAACAAATTCCTGAGCCATGGGATTCAGCTTAGAGAACATTTCCTCCAGCTCCCTCATCTCACTCTTAAAAGCCTCCTCTCCATCACCTTTCACCGTCACGTCTCCGCCACAGCAATTCTTAGCTGATTCATGACCATCATCGCCGGCTGTAGAGCTGACAACATGGTTGTTGCTGAAGTGCCCCTGAAACTGACAGGCCTTCACGTACACACCATCCGACTCAACCACCTGATTGTTAATGCTGCCCTCGTTCTTTTGCCGATCCTGATCACCGGCGCCGTTATTGACCGCCTTAACTTGAGACCCATTCTCCACAACTGCCATGATCGTGGACTAAACCCTAGCTTACCCAAGCTATGCAACCGAACCCCTTCTTCTTCAGATATAAACTCTAGATCGATCAACCAACAGCCCTGCAACCAGAATTAAAAATAAAATGTGGGATGAAATGAAAAGGTCAATATTTTCAAGAATGTATATAGCTGTATAAAGATCCTGAAAAGGGAGCAAGGAAGCGCACCGCTTGAAAGGGAATAATTTTAGATTCTCCACTAAAAAACAAGAAGATAACTTTGAGGAGATTGATAAATGATGAACAAGATGAAAACTTTAAGGAAGCCCAACAAAGATGGACAAGTACAAACAAAATTGTGATGAAACAGAGACAATTTTACCTCTTTATTGTTTATCACTATGATTCCCTTATTTCTATGCAAATCTTTTCAAATATTAAATTCTGAGACAGGCTGGAGCGTGCATTTATATATAAAATGAAAAAAAGACAAGAACTTTCATCATTTCATATAAGAAGAAAGAGAGTTGGGGAAAGAAACAGTGAAATGAAATCACAGGATTCACTGAGACAGTTAAACTGAAAATGGAAATGGAGGTGGAGGTGGAAGGAAAGAGAGCGTTGGGGTGGGATGGATTTAGATACCTGTGGGAGGGTGCGAAATTACGGAAATGGAGCTGGGATTCTGGGTGTTAGTTGAACACGATAAGGCCATAAGGGTATGGAGGTGGCAAGCTGCCATGTTTAGCGTACCGGCTGGAGAAACCTCGGTGAGTCTTGCGCCTGCGTGCTCGCTCTATCTGACAGCTGTTGCTTTCCCCAACAGATTTCAGGGGCCATTTGAGAGATTTCACGCCAGCTCACACCGTATTCATTTCTTTGGGATCTCAAACTCCATCGTCCCAATTACCAATGTTGAGGGGTTTGGGTTAGCGGTTACGGGATTTTCAATATTACAGCAGAGTAATTTAGATGTTAAAATAGTAAATTTAGTCTAAACTAGTTTGATCATAAAAATTAGTTGAAAACGTTGTATTTGAAAATGTTAACATGAAACTCTCATATTTGAAATGTTTCCATTTCTGCAGCTCTGTCCAAAAACAATAGGTCTGAACAGCTATTTTCCAAACTACGTTTTCATATATTAAAAACGCTAAAAGCGGTTAAACTGTCATTTTTGGTGAAATGCAATTTTTCACACCCCTCCTCTTTATTTGGCTCTTGAGATAATAAGGACTCCTATTAAATTCCCAATGACATACTTTTGACAAAAAATTGCCCACTCTTGATAGAATTGTTATTTATTAATTAACTAGTTACTCCACTCGTGCGCTGCACGGGAGTGAAGTACATACGTAATAGTTTAGATCCAATTTTATAAAAATTAAAAAAGGTGATTCAACTAACCGAAAGGATTAAATAAAATTTTAAGTAAGTTGTCCTTGTAATAGCAAACAAAGAAATAAATAGTACACATCAAAATTAACATCATGAAATGAAGTACCACATAAGTCCATAAATTTGTCAAGAAAGTTACGTATAAATTATTATAATATTCCTTATATCCAACACAAGGCAAACATAGTTGATCATCAAGTCCATACATCTTCATCACATATCACAAACTTCAACCCCAGGTTGAGCTGTTACTCTCAAAACCTTCACGTACACATGTCCATGTGTAAGAATAGGGCAACTGAGGAAGATGTCAATTTATTTGTACAATTGTCATTTCCTCTTATTAATGATCATTGCATACTTAATCACTACTCCGTTCTCCCCCCTTAACTTTGTTCCGGTCTACATTTTGTCTATCCCATTAATTTCCTCCCCAATCATATTTGGTAATATTCCGATGGCTACGATACATTCTTACTTTATTTGCACTTTATCAATTCAATATGAATCATACAATTTCACTTTCCTAATAAACTGCATCACACCCTTGTGTCCCAATCATAGGGGACGAAGGTAACAATAAAAACTATATGCATTGAAAATGAATGAGAGTCTAACGCCTCATGGTGTTATAGTGAGCAAGGATAAAGCTATTTTCAATTGGAGTGTAATTCTATGATCTTGCTTGTTTTCCTCTCTTATGCACAAACTTCAATCAGACAATTTTTCCTTTTATTTTTTCTCACCTAATTCAAAGTTCACAAAGTTTAATGGGATTGGAGTTATATAAAAAACATACCTATTGATTTTGTACAACACTAATCACAAAATCTTTGCAATTTTTGTGAAACTTGAAAAGGCGTAAATAAAATTTTATTTGGCAATTTTGCTGGATCTTTTTTAATAAAATTTTTGAAAGTAAATGACAATCTTATATTAATTCAACTCGTCTTTCACCAAAAGGCTTACAATAAAATCCGTTTGAGAATAAAAAAATAACATCATGCTCATCACCTAAAATTGCCGCCCAAGCTAATTCATGGGCAGCTCGATTTGCTGATCTTCTGCAAAAAGTCACTTCCATGTGCTCATTACCACTAATCATACCTCTCAAGTCATCAAGAATCACGTTTGTATATGACATTCCCTGTTCCCATTCGATTCTGGACACAACTAAAGTCGCATTTGTTTTCACTACCATTTTCTCCCACCCGTTATTTAAAGCCCAAATAACTGCCTCCCTCCCTCTAGCCTCCGTTTCAAGCGGGGACTACTCCACACGTACGGACTTTTGTCTAGCTTTAATAAAATGCATGTCATCATCTCTAGCCAACCACCCACGCCCTCAGACTATTGCCTTTACTGAGTGCAGGGTCGACATTGATTTTTATCCACTCCGCCGCCAGATTCTTCCACCTATCTGCACCCTGAGATGACACTTGGACATCAACATTTCTTCCCTTATTTTGTGCAGCACGCCTAGCCCAAGAGGAAAGCTCCTACCATGCATTTCACTCCCCTAGCAGACCCCCATTCCATAGTGTCATTCCAATTGTTCCATAAGCTCCATAACAACATGATAAATTTACTTCCTCTTTCTTTGGATAGTAAACAAAAAACCTTCTCATTTCTCAACCCATAGTAGCAAATCAGGCCACGTACCTGGAGGCTCAACCCAAAATTTCCCCAGACTTCTTGAGCTAACGGACAATGATCCACTTTTAAAACTGTCTTTTGGTTTGCTTTTAATTAGTCTTCCTTCTGATTTACAATTTTACCAGTGACCCACTTTATTGAGATTTTATAATTTTCTATATATGCATAAGAATTTTATTTCCATCATTTGCAATATAGCCTTCCATCATATCTAAAAACCGTCTCCATGTGAACAACTTCACTGTAACCCCTACATAGAAGCATTAAGAAGATTAAAAACGAAAAAAAAATGCAAAAGATTACAACATTAATACTATAATAGGATGTTTAACATGCAGGGATACAGTTGACAACATAATACTGAATAGGACAATGTTGATTTGTATTAAATAAATAACACTGTAAAAGATTATGGCCATGAAATTCATCATATCACTATAAAACCAAACTGTTTTTTGTTCATTTTAAGATAAGCTTCGTTCAACTGAAAAAGAGATTAATAGAGTCATCAAGTTACTGGTCTTAGATTAGTTAAATAAAGTTAGGTTTCATCTTAATGGGGAAGCTAACAGACTTATAACCCATCAATTAGCAAAGAATGAAACACACACACTCATATGCATGACGATTCAAAGAGTGTAATACTAACTTAGCAATAATCATTGTCTATATATTACTTGGAAGAAAACATTGCAGCAATTCTCCTCTGGGAGTGAAATTAAAAAGTTTGGGTAAGCTAATGCCGAGTGCAAGGACTGGAGAACCTAGAATAGTTTTTCACCTCAGAAAGAAAGCACAAGTGTAAAAATGAATAAAACATATAAACAATCACCATAACGTATCTGAGCAGCCTCCATAAATGCATCCTTTTACTCATTTTTATCTCTTCACCCTCCTTTTTTCATAAATGAAACATCCCTTTTTTCAGTACGAAGAGTAAATACAAAATAGAAGAACCCTGCTACAAACAGGTGCTAAAATTTTTAGATAATACAACGGGTGCAAAAGTAAAAAGATAATTAATTAGAATAAATACACTTACAACTTAATTGAGTGCTGATGAATGGAGCATTCTCCATTATGGACATAAAAGCCCAAATTAAACAAAAGATTCTTTTGAAAAACCGTTCTCTAATTTTTTGAACTATACAGTTTAAGACAAATCAATTCATATTTATACAAATATGGATTGATTATATAACTTTTTGGCAAACCATAACTATTGAAGTTGAAACCTATTTTTATAAAGACAACCGAATTGAATATATATACAAAACAAAATATTGAATCAATTTAAATTGTAATGAGTGATAGAACATGCAAAAATCAGAAAAATAAAACTAAAAGCAAAAATTTGAACCTCACTGAGAGAATTTAATTTGTTCAGTTGTATTGACTTAAGATTCATCCATACTCCTCCATCCTAATCGGAATAGTAGTAGGTGTGGAGGAGGAAGGGTTGATCTGCATCCGAAATGAGGAAGGATGAAAAAGAAGAAAGTAATGATAAAGCTATTTTTTGAAGCTAAACATATTTTGCTTAAATAACAGTCAAAAAAGAATGAGCAAGGTTGGCCATCCTTTCTTCACCTTCCGTTTTCCTTTTACTTGGCTTTTAATAACCATTCATGATGAAAGACTCATGGTTAGAAAGGTGATATGTGGTATTATGGATACATAAGACATTAAAAATAGGATACTGAGAATATATAGTTCTTTCCATTAACGAATAGCTAGTGGCCAGACCATTTTATCATTTATGTTCCCCTTGCAAAATCCCACAATCAACAAAATGTGTAGCAATCTTCGAGTGTTACTTACAGAAAATATGCTCAAACAAAAGCCATCCTCCTGAAAAGAAGGAAATAAGATACTGTCAAGTGATAATTTCATCTCAAACTAAACTTTGACAAATATTTTTAAAATAGACATGAGTTATTGAGTACTGAATCACCAATCTAACTGGAGCTAAGCAACTAAATTAGGCAAAGAGATACTCTAAGATTGTAATTAGTCTTTTTTTAATTCTTAGGTTTTCACCCTAGACGAAATGAAGAAGCTCGATATTTCGTCATCCTCTCCCCTCCAAATGCAATGGCAAGGCTATAAGTCATATAATAGTAAAAGACTATATTAATACCCAAGAAACCTGTACTGAGCAAGTAAATTACAATCCTAGAAATTTGAAATCAAAGCAATGTGAAGAAGCTGGTGATGAAAAAAGTTTTACTTTCAACTTTTGAGGTAGAGGCCTTATGGGTTTAAAGAGCTGCAAATTAAGTATAAATGATCTCACACAATTATTCAACATTCCAAATGAGTTTTCTGCAGCAGGCTGTTATAAAAAGCTTTGATAAAATAAAATTACTGGAACTTAGAGAAGGAATATCCTAAACTGAAAATAATGCAGTAAGTTTTCATCAAGGTAGGTTAAATTAAGCAAACAATTTCCAATTACCGAATTAGGAGAAACACAATAGGTGTTACTCAATCAAGCACCCATTGTAGGTGAGACATCATTTTTCAATCAAGGGTTTTTTACAAACTTTGAAAGTATGATTGAGA